TGTTGTCAGATTTGATAAGGATCAGGTTTGAGGTAGGGCTCGACCAAATAATCATGCAGCATTAAGTGGGATTTTTCTACTAAGTTGTGACCATTTAAAAGGAGGAAAAGCCTGCACTACTTGAAAGCTTGCACTACTTGAAGGAAAAGCCTGTTAGGCCTGTAAAATGCTGCAAAAACCCACTTAAAACTGCTAGAGAACACTATGAAGGTGTCAGAGATGGAGAAGGATGCAGTATTGCAGTATTACAGGCTTTGCTTGAGAGGCTTCATGGATCATAAATCACCCATATCCCACTCAAGGCACCCCTTCCAGCCAAACCAGCCCATTCTACTAGACCTCAACTTCCCACAAGCCTGATCTACACCAGAGTTTGTTCTTGCATAACTTTGTTTCATCGACCACCAAAACATCAGGGTTGTGGGTGCTGACACACTCAAAACTCGTCAACTCTTTTGAGGGGTCACCCAACCCCCTAATATTCCAGACGACCATCTTCAAGGCGAGCAAATCCCACTTTTGCACCAAGCTGAAGTTCTAGTTTCCTCGATGGGTGCCGTAACATTGATGCAATCATAGTTGATCTCTGTGACAAGGCTTTTCAGCTCTCTCTTTCCTCACCAAGGTTTTCTTATTTAGCCAGTAATTGACAGCCTTTAATCCCCGTTCAAGAGTTTGGAGGGTGTGTTTTTCTTGTGATCATTGTGGAGGATGCATTTAACAATTTTCTTAATGTCTCTTCTTATCCATTTTGATTACTTTCCCAATTCTTATAATTTCCTATTTTAAGATGTTCTAGGCATCTAAGAAACAGCTGCCAAGTCCAATTGCAACTCCTAAATCAACTCAACATGAAACTTGGATATGTCCAAGTCTTTGAAGTTTGATTTGCAGGGATAATTTAGTAATCATCCTTCTTTTTGTATAGGTATTTTGATCATTTAATGCTTATGTAAATCTGTAAATGATGGATTAAACTCCTATTCCTCAAGGAGAATCAATACTATCCAAACAAATCAAGTTTTGCTTTGGTATCTAATCCATTGGAATATGGCTTTCAGATAACCCACAGTGGCAACGTATGGAATGATTAGAGTGAGAATTTTCAAGTTCTTATAAAATCTGCAGATTAGTACTCAAAATTTTGACTATTTAACTCTCATGTGAGAACACTATTCACATATGGGGTCATCTGGTACAAGAAAATTTCACATCATCATCTTTTTTTTTTTAAAGCTGTTAACTCAATTTCACATCATCATCATCATTATCAGAGCCTTATCCCCAACTATTCAATCATCATATGAATGCTACTCAGCATGCATCTGCAACTATATCAATCAAGTTCATGTTGACTTCATTGCCCTGCAGTTAATGAATTGAATATAAGTTTCATATAAAAATCATGCTCCACCTTAATTACAGGTTGAGATTGTTCTTACTCTTGTTTATCAAAAAAAAAAAAAGATTGCTTACGTTTTATCTGGTGTTACACTTATCAAATGCATGATATGCAAAAAACCTGATTTGGCTGTAGTTGTACTTTTGTTGTGTTTGCTTTGCATTTCTACCCTCTCATCAGCAAATCAAATGTCTTTTAAAGCTGCTAATAATACCTTTCTTCAATATGATGTCAATCAAAGAGATTATGATCCTTAAACAAAACATTTGAAAGTATCCATTCACATGAATTTTGCTCACATTGTGCTTTTGTCCCCAATGAGGTTCTCTCTTACCCTCCTTACATTCTTAACACCAATAAAATTTTAAATCAGTCACAAAAAGGAGTGAAGCTAGCATTTTCTCTTCCTCTAAATTCTTCCTCTAAAGACTGACATTACTAAAGTGGGATACGATTGAGTGTCTAAAAGGATCACAATTTAATGGCTCCTCTTCATTAATAATTCCAATTAACACTTCTGAACAGTACCACCACTTGGCTTCTTTTTAACCTTTTGCTTTGACAGTTTTTTTGTGCGGCATTAATATGGATCTTTTATTCCTCCCATGATTTATATATGGGTGTGGTTTGTCTAAGGCCGAGGCCCTAAACAAAGTAGAGCTCACCTTCAAATAGTGCTGAAATATGTTGTTTTAGCATCAGAAATCTTTATGATGGCCTGAAAACTTATTTTTGTCTCTAGTTATAAAAATTGAAGTTCAAAAATAGTGTAGATAGAGCAGATCAATGAACACTTGCAAATCTTGAAAATTGGCAGTCAGATAATACATTACATGATGCAGTATTTCCAAGACTTGAGGTGCGCCTTAATTCGATTGTTTAGGGCCTCACCCTTATATAAACTTTTTCCTTTATATATTATCTCGATAAATAATAATTCAGAATTGATCAAAAAAGCTAAAAGCCATTAAACAAAACAAAAATAGGATCAACATGAAAAATCACACAAAATGAAAAAAACTCGCCAAATATCGCCATTTTCCTCGAATACCCATATTTACCAGTTTATTTGTGAACATGTTTACCTCTCGGAGAACACATCATGCGACAATTATGCATGCATCGAGCACACTTTGGAAATTACATTATCGCTTCTCCAGGCATTGATTCTCCTCTTATAATCTATTTTAGGATAGTCAGTAAGCGCCCCCCTGCCCCCTTCAACAGTGAGAGGCTTTTCAGTTATTAATAATCAAACTTCAATCATACATGTCGCATCTGATGTCAAGCCCTCATCCCTAAGGCCAATCATAACATCTAGGAATATCGTTAGCATGTCTTCATGCCCTTAGGCTGACATCTTTCCATCTCCCTGGTCTCCATCTTTTTGTACAAGTTTGTCTTAATTTAATAAAATTTCTGTTACTGCTCCTCCCCAAAAGAAAAAGAAAAAAAAGACTATCACCATTGCTATGGCGGCCGACACTCCCATAACTTCCTAGGCCCTATTTAACTTTGACAGATTTGTCAAAATTGAGTTATAATCCATTCAAATTGAGAACCAGCTCCTTCAACTCCTTGTCATAAAAGTCTCTTTCGAAGGGAGAGATTAAACTGAAATTAACCATAATCTCAGGAAAAATACTCAAACCCAACAATCTGAAATGACCAGCCACCTTCAACACTCGAGGAAATTGGCTATAGAACTGTTTGCCACTCCCATTGCAATTATACTTGCCTTCCATCTGTATATTTTTATGTATGTTTATGTGTTTCATAAGAAAAGAAAAGAAAAAAAAACAAAAAAACTTAGATCATGGGGCGTAAATGACGTGCACAACTATGGGCAAAAAATGTTATTCACTGTAATAACCACTAGATCAATACTTTTTTTTTATTAATTTAAACTCTGCAGCATATAGTAGTACAGTTCCAATTAAACTTAAACAACAAGAAACTATAACGGTAATTACAAAAATAAATTAAAACAAAGCAGCCTGCACATAATGATTCCTAACAGAGTATCAAGACCAAAAAAAAAAAATACAAGATGGACATCATCATATCAAAATCAAAATACAAGATGGACATCATCATATCAAAATCAAACTTAAGACTCCAAGACCAACCCAATCAAAATGTGACAAGATGAAACGAGAAAAATGCAAAACCAATCATGCAAAGTGTAACATCAGTTACAGAAAATGATCCCAAGATCAAACATAAGAAACAAAGAGCGACCCAAAAAATGCCAATCAGTTATCGGCAAAAAAAAAATGAGAGAGGCCAAAATAGGTCAATTTTCAAAGCACTTATATGAAATACTTCAAAAATGCAAATCACGTCCATGCGGGAAATCAGTTCATAAATTCTAAAACCTAAAACTACCAGAAACCATACCACACCTCGTGGATGTCTTAATTGGATACCAACCCACATTCCGAAGACAAAATCATCATAAAATCTAAATCAAAGAACTTAAACAGAAACGAAAAAAACAAGAAAGGGAACCTAGGCATTGAGATCCCTAATCACCAACCAAAATTCCCAAAGTTTCTAGAGAGAAGAAAACTGAGAGATTATTGAATCATACCGTCCAAATATCGGCTGGCACAAGGATGATGATCGAAAGAGAGCAAAACCACGCATAACCGACCGTGAAGAGCACATAGCGAGGAACATCAGGGCTCGCAAAATACTTGAGCGTCACAGATACCATTCCAAGGGTCAGAGGTAGAGAGATGAGGTAGAAAACCCACATCTTCACAAAACCTCACCGTTTTCACGCCCGAAATAACTCTCTCTCTTGACAGAGCTCGCAAAAAAGGTTGCAGTTCAATTTTGGCGCATATATTTGCAGCGAAAACCCTGGTCAGACGGATCGGGAAGCCAATGGTTTGCGGGTCGGGCGTCTAAGAGAAAAAATGCCAGAGAGAGAGAGCTTTTCTCCCTCCGTCTTTGTCCTCCCTCTCTAGAGGTGTACGCACGTTCACCGAGAATTTAGAGGAAAAAAGGTCGTAGAACAAGGCGTGCAATTGAAAAACCTCCTTCCTTCGTCATCTCAAACTCAATTTCAACTCGTGTGAATGTAAAAAAACAAAAAAGAGAATTTTAAGTGGACCTATGCCCCGGTCGAGTATTCGCCTGAGTCCGCTAACTCGAGTCGAGTATTGTTGATGTGAAATTACTAAAAGATATAAAATACAAAAAAAAAAAAATAGAAAAATATATCTACTATAAGGAAAGCGTGAGTTCGCTTTACGCATACGTGTCGAAATAATAGGCATCCCGTAAATTTTGCCTTTCCTTTGCAGGTATAACTTCTCCTCACCTGTAGGTGTCCAAAGCAAGCATTTTTACGTTTGCAGTTTGGTGCGCCGCCAGACCAAAGCACAGGCATTTTTTCGTTTGAATTTTGGTGAGCTGCCAGACACAAAAGAACTCGGCACGTTTTTCCCACTCTTACTTGTGCGCCACCGAACACTACATAGGCAGTCCAAGGGTGTAATCTATGAAATTGAAGGCTTCTTCTCCAATGTTGAGCAGGTGATATTGAGGTAAGAACCAGGATCTCTCTCTGGTGTAAAAGGAGTTCGAAAAATTAAATTCGGCTTTCTTTCGATATTAAATAAATAAAAATTCAATAATAATATGGGGCAAAAAGTAGTTGTGATTAAGCCATAAAAAAAATAAACTCTATTTTCTTCATTCATAAACTCTCTATCATGTCTAGCTCTCTCCTCCTACACGTTAATCTCTTTCTCTCTCTATTTCTTTTATTATAATCTTTACATGGTAGTAGAGCAGAAGTCTTGACACCTGTACGAAAAATAACAGTCAATATATATAGGGAGTGGATTTTGTACGCTCACTCGCGGACTGCTACGGTAAACGTCAGTGGCCCAGATTGAATCTAGGTCGATCTGATGGTCACAACTTTATTTCATGTTTGAATTTTAATTTTTTTTTAATACAAATCTGAATCACTTGAAAATTTAGGCGTGTGTTCTTCTCATCAAGTTGCATCTAATAAAAATATAAAAAAAATAATTCGTGAAAAAATATTGACAAAAATACCTCTAAACTTTTTGGGGGTATTTTGGTCAATTTATTTATGTAAAATATTTTTTTTTTATTTTTCGCAGATTTGCCTATTTTTTAAGAATACAAGTCTAAAATTTCAAGTCATTTGGACTTTTAGAAAAATAACTAAAATACAAATACTACCGGACTTCTATGATCGTCAGATCAGCCCAAAATGAATCTAGACAGTGGGCGTTTACTATAGCAGTACGCCCATGGGCATATAGAATCTTTCTTATATATATATATATATGGAAAAAGCTAGGATTAGCTCACTAGCTCATATGAACATATTAGCCCAACAGCCCAGATTGAATTTGGGCGGATCTGACGATCACGGATGTCCGGTAGTGCTTGCATTTATTTTTTTTCTACAAATCCAAATCACTTGAAATTTTA